CGGCAGTGGTTCCCAAACTTTCTGCAGCATGCACCCTCTCTAGTGTTTGACACATGTCAAGCACCCCCACCACCTTACTCCAGTTAAACACCGCATTTTTAAATGCAATAATACAAATATTCACTGTATGCAGGGCTTGACATTAACTTTTCTGCTCACAAGCCACTGTGGCTAGTGGTTTTACAAAATTACTAGACACTCAGCATTTTCATTGGCCACAATTTTGATGTTGGGAAATTACATTTTATATGACTAAAGTTACTTCATACTAAAATTTATTTAAATTGATTTCCAGGTCATTTTTTGCCTATTTAAAGGATATTTTTTACTAACCATATTATATGCATGCGTCATCTTTAATATCAAATTCTTACATTTTATTAATAATTTCACTTAATATAATAAGACACTACAGGACTGTTACCAATCAAATGAAATCAGTATTAACAAAACCGATCTTTCCACTGCAGAATAAACAGAAGCAGCTGAAGTGGCCTTTACATTTACACAGGTTAATGAAGCTGAAATGTAGCATGAATGCATTTACATTGCAAAATTACAATTAGTTATGAGCTTGGTGTTTTAAATCAGTCACTGCCGCAACATACTGTCTCACCAGATGTGCCTCTGAGCATAGTGCATCTGTGATCAAAACTTAATTTCAGTGTCACATTAAATCATTCTAATATGCTGATTTGCTGCTCAAGAAATTATCAATGTTGAAAACAGTTGTGCTGCTTCATATTTGTGTGGAAACAGTGATACATTTCTCAGAATTTGATGAACAAAGTTCAAAACAACAGCATTTTTTTTTTAAATATCAATTTAATGCATCCTTGCTGAATAAAACTATTAATTTCCTTTAAAAAAAAATCTTATTGACATCAACATTTTGAGCAGCTGTGCAATTTTATTGTGAAATATCTCCCGATTGTTTTTCTGTCATCTGAAAAGCATTGATCTGGGGTTTGTTTCCCAAATGCATCGTGAGCCTAAGCTGATCGCAGACACCAGTGGTGGGAATGGTTTCTTAAGATCTACTTATGCTTCTGATCAGGCACGTGCACACATAGACATCAAAGGTGCCTTGAGCACCTGCCCTTTTTCTTCCTCGAGAGAAAGTGCCCTTTTTTCTGGGGAGTTTTTTTGTTTTGTTTTTACATATATACATATATATATATACACATATATACACATACATATATATATATATATGCAGTACATATGCATTTCTGTTTGCGCACAGCTTTCTCAAACAAACAAAAAAAAAAATCTAACTATCAGGTCGGGTCGGCAAATGTTGAGACTCTGTCGAGTTCTGATGCCTTTCACCCCTCCGCGTAGCATTGTAGCACACACACTGAACGGCACATGCACATCACAGACAGACAGAGAGCCGCAGAAGCGAAGCCTTCCCTCCTTTTCCAGTTGTGTTTGTCTTGGTGTGTGGAGGTGAGTGGTGATGAACAAAAGATTAAGCTACCTGTGCCTCGAATTTACAGCTAATTATCAAAAAGACAAAAGGCAAATATAGTTAATTTGTCTTGCTAACATCCATGACTCATAAGAGCTACCATGTAAGTTAGCTAATTAAGGCAATAGGAAGTCTTAGGTTAGACCAGTGCACGTTCTTTCACTGCATGATTCAGTTTATTAAAATGCATGTAGAATGATCACAAAATTCAAGATATGGGGGCAGAAATGTATATTTATATAATTTCATATAGTTAATCAGTATCACGCCGAAGACTGACCTTTTTCCACCAAAAAGCAGCATGATTACAAATGTGATATTGATTTTATAAAGCAGTTCAATAAACAAGAATTCAATATTAAGACACTTACGTTTTAGACACAATATTGACTGTTTTTGCGCTATTTCGCCAACAAATATCATTCTAATTTGCATCTCTGAGCAACATGTTCCTGAATGAATTAACAGTTTAAATGATTCGGTTTAATTGCGATGACTCACTTATTATCAGTGACTTGCTGCCACCTGCTGGCGGTTTTTATTTCACATTTAAAGTATCTTTTCATTTAAAAAAAATAATAATTTTAAAGATCAGTATTCAATGTTTTATGTTTAAAATATCAAAACAGTATTAATGCATTTGTAACTGCAGTTTAAATGCATTCCTGTCCAGCATTAAACAGTGTGTTAAAGCATCTAAACGCCACTTCAGATGCAGCTTCTGTGTTTCCTCTGAATTGCAAAGGTTAATTTTGTCAATACTGATTTAATTTGCTTGGTAACAGCCCAAATGACTTATTATTCTAATTGACTGATTCAATTTAAGAATTTGACTGACAAGATGATGCACACTTTTAGAAAAAAGGGCTTTATAAAAGGTAAAAATGCCCATAAAAGGTCAAAATCAATTTAAACTTATTGAAAAATATTAATTTCTATCACTGCTGTGAACTGATCACCACACAGAATATGCAGAATATCACAAACTTTAGGAGTCCGCTGTCCACGGTAGTCCTTAAGATATCATCAGCACAATAACACTCAACATACCGTCTAATTATCATTATAGATAAAATCTCAGAAAATATTGAGATATATTTTGTCAATATTGCACACCCCTATTATATTTAACGTTTTGTTTAGAATTTTTTTTGAATATGAACATGAGAAGTGCCCTTTTTTCCACCTGAGCCCCTGCCCCTTAAAATGTCTGTGCACGTCCGTGCTTCTGATGCTTTTGGGAAAAGCAGCCCAATTTGAACAAGCACTGTCTGTGAGCGAAGCGTCAGCAGCGAGCGCTGTCTGTGATTGATTGGTTCGGTCTTTCAGCATTTGCGTATGTTACATAGTTCAATCCTACACAATTATTCGCTAACAGTCTATTTTTCCACTTAAAAGCTTTTTTTTTTATGCACCAGATTTCTTGCTAAATAAATAAAATTATTAAAATTATGTGAGGATCGATCCTTTCGATACAACAACAGTATCGACATTTTTTTTTTTTATTATGCTTCCATTTACAACAAACAAACAAGGTACATAAACACATAACATAATCGAACAACACGTGAACAGCCTCAGGTTGAGCATAACCAGTGACAAACAAGATCACAATAAACCAATAATAAAGAAGAAAATAAAATAAAATAAATAAATAGAACAAATAAAACAAACCAACAGGGGCTTTTTACATTAGTTTATACATGTCCCAAAAACGAAATCAATTTGAGAGCTTTCTTGTTTTTAACCAATTCTAAAGATTTGCACAATTTTAACCTCATTCATCCACTGGTTAAAGTTGGGTTTAGATTTAAACCATCTACATTTATGAATGAAAAACTTTCCAAGACAAAGCAAGAAACATCAGTATCGAAAGTATCGATGCTTCAGGATCGATCCGCTCATCCATACATAGTGGCATGTGCCAATGGCTTCCGCGCGTCAGATGCAGTAATGTTAATACCGCTACTGTCTCCATTTGCGCTTGTGCGCATTATAAGACACAACCTCATCTGCGACATTAAAATTAGGTTGTTTCCCACATAAAGCTTTTGTATGGTTACCGAAAACTTCCGAACTACCGAAAAAAAATTTTTTATTTTATTTTTTTTTTACAAAAATTAGTATATCATACCGGTTTGGAGAACCATCATGAGGGACTTTGTGACGACAGGATTTTCATTACTTGGTGAACTGTCGCGTTAAGAGCGTTGTACACCTGACCGAGAGAAACAGGTGGGAAATGTAGTGTGATAGATGAGTAATACGATGAGAGAGGGAACGGGGAGACATTTACTTTGAGACATTAGTCACAAGCAAACCAACAAACCCTTTGTAGCGATTCATCTTTTGAGCCATCAAGTGTTTCTACAATATAATTACTTAAATAATATTCTTGCTACGTTTAGATGCGGTTAACATCGTCAGAGAATATAAACGTGTTATATTTGACACACGTGACTCCCAAACTTGACTGCTCCATGTTCACAACCATCCTCTTTAAAAACTTCTAGAAAAGTAACACTCCCGTCACAAACAGATCCTTTTAAAGAATCCCTCCACAAATACTTTGACGAAAATACATATTTTCATGTAATACTGTATGTCTGTAGGAGAGGCTGCATATTATTAAAGCGTGCCTTACCTCCTGCTCAGCAGTGCGTTTGCATTCAGGGACAAAACGTTTCTGGCTGTAAACTCTGGATGTGAAAAAAGCTTTGAGACGTGGTCTTTAAGGGTGATTGACAGCAGGTGGGCGGAGCTCCACAGTGAGTAGCCTTCTGTAAGATGCTCTCTCAAGAACACTAAAATGAGATGAACTTCTCAGAGTGGACGCTTTGTCTCCTATTCCATTGTGTTATCAATAATACAAAACTAATTTAAAACGCGTATAGGTGTGATGCAACTATGTGTACTTAGAAAAACTACAATTGTGTATACTACACAAGACACACATTGTTATCTAACTAACCTAGCTATATCTGAAATTTCCTAAAAAGTGAATATACACCAACTAAATCTATGTAAGATATAAATATAAATTCACATATTCAGAAAGAGCTACATGTGGCACATTCTGTCACAAGAATGAATGAAACAGGAAAACATTGCATCTGTATCCAAATCCTGTCCATTGTGCCAAACTTCCTGTGCTTGATCTCATTGGTGGAGCAGAAGAACACAGAGAATACTGAATGTGTATCTGTGGAGCTGAGACAAGATAAACATAAGCAAACATATGATGCGCTTTTGTTTGGTTTGAGTCAACGTTAGTTTAAAACAGGGCTGTCCAAACTCGGTCCTGGAGGGCCGGTGTCCTGCAGAGTTTAGCTCCAACTTGCCTCAACACACCTGACTGGAAGTTTCTATGCCTAGTTAAGAGCTTGATTAGCTGGTTCAGGTGTGTTTAATTAGGGTTGGAGCTAAACTCTGTAGGACGCCGGCCCTCCAGGACCGAGTTTGGACAGCCCTGGTTTAAAAGCATTTTCTTGACAGTTAATCCATCTGTATTATTTTTACTGACAATAATCTTCCAGATGATGTTTATCACATTATTTATTGTAACATAGGCTGTCAAATGGCAACATTACATATCCAAATTCAAAGCATGTACCAAAACACCATGCTAATATTATGAAACATTTCTGCCTGTGTGGCTGACAGCACTAATTAAACATCAAGCATAATAATGCAACTGTGTGTTGATGAGCATTATGCATTTAACTGTTACTCGTGAGGAATCAGTAATTAAGAAAAATGTCCTTCTGAACGTATACCTCGAGGATTTGTCATGGTATTTGTGGATTAAAAAAAAATCAAATGGCACGAGTTCTCTGAGGCCATTTTATTCAACCTGAGTTTATCAGTTAGTTTAACTCGCTTATAAAACACGCTTTGTTTGAGGTTTGACTTGAAATATTTCTTTTATCAGACTTTCCACACAACAAAGAATATTTTGTGCAGTATGTAGTGGAACATGAAGTACTTTAAGACCAGAAAAAGCAGCGATTCCACAAGCATCCTGGTGGGAATTCCTTATGAATGCACTTGAACTGAACAAAGAGAGCTATGTATATAGACAAACATTAGCAAACACAAGTCCTCAATAACAAATGAAGGTCCTCATAATTGTACAATAAAAAGTACAAACACACAAAAATGTCAGGAGCTGTGCTGTTTAAACGGCGCTACTGCGGTGGTTGGTAAAACCTGGTTTTGAAAGACGAATGTTTGAATGTGCTGGAAAACCCAAAGAAAGATAAGCAGGACGCTGACATACTGAATCCAGGCAAACTTGATCATTTCCCAGAAGCCCGGCCGATAGGTAGAGAAACCAGTAAAGGAAATTAAACTTGAATTGATCAAATAAAACATGAGTGGAGAGTCTAGGAATGCACAGAAGTCAGGAAGTGACTCAAAGTCACTTCATGTGTCATGAGAGTTTGGGCTCTAGCCACAAATTAAAAAGCATAAAGCAACAATTTCCGGTCAATGCTTTTTTTTTTTTAATCAAAATCATGTTATCTGAAAGAAACTTCAGATTTACTTTTTTCCCTTATGAGCTTGGTGTTTTAAATCAGTCACTGCCGCAACATGCCGCGACAATGTCTCACCAGATGTGCCTCTGAGCATAGTGCATCTTTTATTTTTTTTATTGGAATCAGGATTTTGTTGTAGACCAGATGGTTGATGTTAGTAACCATGCATGAAACAATAAGAACATGCACTATATACCCTCAAATAGAGTATCTTTTACAGCAAAGGGATAGTTTCCCCAAAAATTTTAATTCTGTCATCATGTACTCACCCTTATGTTGCTCCAAAACAAGAAGTCTCTTCTGCTCACCAAGGCTGCATTTATTTGATCAAAAATACAGAAAAAACACTAATATTGTGAAATATTATTACAATTTACGGTTTTCTATTTTAAAATACTTTAATATATAATTTATTGCTGTGATCAAAGCTGAATTTTCAGCATCATTACTCAGTCTTCAGTGTCATACGATCCTTCAGAAATCATTCTAATATACTGATTTTTTAGCAATGTAGAAAAAAGTTGAGCTGCTTAGTATTTTTTTTTGGAGGGGGGGTCCTGTGATACTTTATTCAGGATTCTTTGATTAATAAAAAGTTAAAAAGTAAAAGCATTTATTTAAAATATAAATATTTTGTAACAATATACACTACCGTTCAAACGTTTGGGGTCAGTACATTTTTTTTCTTTCTTTTTTGAAAGAAATTAATAATTTTATTTAGCAAGGATGTGTTAAATTGATAAAAAGTGACAGTAAAGACTTGCGTATATTGTTAGAAAAGATTTATATTTTGTATAAACTTTTTATTCATCAAAGAATCCTGGAAAAAGTATCAAGGTTCCAAAAAAATACTTAGCAGCATAACCTGTTTTCAACATTGATAATAAATCAGTATATTAGAATGATTTCTGAAGGATCATGTGACACTGAAGACTGAAGTAATGATGCAGAAAATTCAGCTTTGATCACAGCAATAAATTATATTTTAAAGTATATTAAAATGGAAAATTGTTATTTTAAATTGTAATAATATTTCACAATATTGGTGTTTTTTATGTATTTTTGATCAAATAAATGCAGCCTTGATAAGCAGAAGAGACTTCTTTAAAAACATTCAAAATCTTACTGATCCCAAACATTTGAACAGCAGTGTATGACTTTCTTTCTTTAGTGGAACCATGTTGTTTGGACCCCAGAGCTCTTAAAAATAGCTTCTTTTGTGTTCCACAGAAGAAAGCAAGCATGGAGATTTTCATTTTTGGGTGAACTATGACATTTACAAAAACTGTCTCTCACTGAATATTTAATACATATACTGTATGTGAGCCTGGACCACAAAACCAGTCATAAGGATGAATTTTTCGAAATTGAGATTTATACATCATCTGAAAGTTGAATAAATAAGCTTTCCATTGAATGTAATAATCTCTACTGTATAGTTGATCTGGGCGCTGATCTGGAATGGAGAATTTGCAGCTCTGCCCACCGTCCACACGGGAATCACGCCGGAGAGATAAGTAGTCACTGTGTGTGAGAGACAGAGAAACTGCTGGGAATGAAGGTGGCACTTCAGCTAAAACAAAAGCAGCCTATAGCAGTACATGAAGCCTACATTCCTGAGAACCACATAATAAATGCTTATCATTGGTGGATTGACATTTGACAGAGAATTGACAAATAAGGTTTCAATATTCAATACCTGAAAGAAACAGAAAATATAGCAGTAGGTGATGAACTCAGGAAAAATCTCAGAACGTTCTAGAGTAAATATCAGAGGATGCTACTGAAAAATACAGCCTAGAGTGAATACAAATCAGTGCTTTTTCTGAAACCAATGTGGCGCAAATAAGGAAGACTAGAGAGGTTCTGGACATATTCATAACAATAAAGATAAAACCCATTTGTTTGGCTTTGTCTTACAGTTTCTCTGCTGGTAGAGTCTAATGATGTTGGGCAGGTCATATGTACTCGCAAACAGACTGGATCCATCGATCAGTGATACCTAGCAATGGAATAAAAAAAGCCAATTAAAATGAATTTGTGATTTCTGGAAATTACTGACAAACACACAATTTACACATACATCAAATACGTTCCAAATAATTTCCAATGCTGAATTTCATATCTATTATCTTCCTGTTGACATGCTTTTGACAACACTTCAGCACTGCAAGTCAAACTGGTTTCCAGCAATCATCACATTAATCTTTATGTAGGTCATACAACATTGATAAACTTGGTTCTACTGGGGCTTGTTTAGATTTACTCACATTGTAGGTACTATGTAAACCTCGGTGTGGAAGAGGAGTTCGCTGGTTTAGCTTCAGGTCTCCACAGATGAACAGCTGAGATCCTGGGACAGGCGAGGAATGCTGCACAAAGGCAAGCGTCTGCATCACAACCGTAGACATACGCTAGACAGGTGGACAGTTAGACACACAAACAGAGAGCTGGATAAGTCATATACAGAGGAATAGACAGAGAGAGAGCAAGAAAGATATTAATACTGAATGAATAGGAGTGAGGCATTTGATTTGTGGCATATAGGAATGCACTGAATACACACAAACAGCTGGTATGAGAAGGTAAGGAGGAGCTGGATGCCGAACATCTGTTCTTCTGGCTTGAGCGGGATGTTGATCTGGAGCACGAGAAAGTCAGATTTCCCATCCTGGTCTCTGTCCTCCTCCTGGACCTGAATAGTGAACAAACCAGTGCAGCTTTCAATAGCTTTAATATGTTCACTATTGCAATATTGCAAAAAAATTAATCATACAAAAAGTTTTTATTTCCACAGTGTCGTACTCACAGAGACAGATGGGATGCGTAAATTATCTCCAATCAATCGATTAAAGTTGGGAAACGTGCTCCATGCTATATAACTCCCTGCTGTGTCTGTTGCTCCGATCACGATCATGTCATACTGGAACTGAATGACCGGTTGCTCTTCATATTTGCTGCTCTTCAGCCAGAAGCCTGTTCGTAAAGCAGAGTCGCTTCATGTCATCGCATGTTTGGAATTTGGAAATAATTTGCTTGGAATAAAATGCAGCTTACCTTGACTTCTGTAAACCACCAGAAGAGGTGTAATATACGTGAGGCATAAAAGCACACAGACAAACAGTGTTGCTCTCGTGCAGACGCGTGTTCTGTATCTTATTAAAGCGGGATGGGAGTAAACGTCATAAAAAGCCATTGTTGCTAATAAAAGCGAAATCCCATTTAACAATCCACAATACCATTAAACACGTGTATTATGTGAGCATTGCGTGCATTGTCAAATACATTAACGATCAAACAAAAGCTGTTTCAGTTAAATAATATTGCACTTTTGGGGGGGGGGGACGTAGTAGTCAAAACTTGTAGTCTACAGATTAATTAACGTTAGTCCAGCAAACCAACAACACGCGCACTGAGTGTTCCGGTGGCGCAGCGTCATCTGTTCACCATAGCAACAACGCCAAACTTGGCCTTGTGCGAAGTATGTACATAGGAATTATTAGATATGAATTGATCTAAAGTATGTTTATAAACAAAAACGATTAGTTTGATCACTTGGTTTCGGCAATCGAATAAGTGTAGTTGCTGTAAAATATACGAACTCGCGTATAAAAACCCCGGAATTGACCGAATGGTACGGCCCTGCCGTGACGTAACCTCGCCCTGACGGAGAGGACGTACGCGGTGACGTTATTACGGCTAGTCTGAAGACGAATGTCTGCTGCTGTTACATTGTTGACGTTTTTAGTTTCAACGTTTAATTGACTTCAAATCATCACATATTTTCATTAGCAGATCGCTCCTCGAGCAATACCTCTGCAAAAATGAAATGGATGTTTAAAGAGGACCATTCTCTGGGTAATTCATCGCAAATGTCATGTTTTTATCAACAACGGCCTGTGTCAGATGCGTGTAATTATTGATCTGTTTGTCAAACTGATGATTACGTTACGTCAATCTACTAATTTAATCTAACTCCGTTTACGATCTAAGAAGACCCACTTTATTTATTTGCTTATGTCGGGCCTGTTGTTAGCTCATCATAACGACATTAATAACGATAATAAACCGAGATCACACCGTAGGAGAGTCTGTCTCTGGTGTTGTTGTTTGTCAGCGTTTGATAACAATGTGCTTTGTTTTTCTTTCATTTTAGCACGTCATGTTTAGCATGTTTATCAACTCTACAAATGTATTAATTTTAAAATATGATGTGATTTTGAGATATTCACATGTCTAATGTATGTGTATTTAAATATTCCTTGGTTTGTTTTGGGGTTAGTTACCCTGTGTGCGTGTATAGTATTATAATATCTATCTATAATCATTAAAAAAAATGCGGATGAGTATGACCAATGAGAATTCATTCGTGCTGTTTACAACACTCTCTAATGCAGGGGTCACCAAACTCTGTCCTGCAGGGTTTAGCTCCAACTTGCCTCAACACACCTGCCTGGGAGTTTCTAGTAAACCTAGTAAGAGCTTGGTTAGCAGTGTTGCCAATTTAGCTACTTTGTAGCTAGATGTAGCGACTTCCCCGCCCCTTTTGAGACTTTTTTCAAAAGTTTAGGGACAAATATAGCAACTGCTTGGACAAACCTTATCTAAGTTCTCATCTTGCCCACTGATCTACGTTCATCTTTATATAGATCAGTGAATTTGCCATTGTGATGTCATCTAGTGACATTTAGCTACCAGTTTTAGCTACTTTCAATTGAAAGCAGTTGGCAACACTGTTGGTTAGCTGGTTCAGGTGTGTTTGATTAGGGTTGGAGCTAAACTCTGCAGGACACCGGCCCTCCAGGACTGAGTTTGGTGACCCCTGCTCTAATGAATATTAATGATGTGAAGAGCATTGCATGTTGAGCTTGCATGTAGACTGATCGATGTCTTGTCTTTTTGCATGCATCATTTAGAGCACAGATGTGTGGAGTCGGCCAAAATCCGCAACAAGTACCCAGACAGAGTTCCTGTGAGTATGTATATGGAAAGTTTGACAGTTTTAACATGGGGCATAGTTTCCTCTCTTTTATAATGTATGATGATGAGTCATAGTAACAAAGCCCGTAATCAAAAGTCTGTAATCAAAGACTTATTTGCACATTTGGGGAAAATCTAAGTTGTGCCTACCTTGTAATCTGATCTATGGATCAGAGCATACCAGAAATCCTTTTTTCCATCTGGAAGGAACAGGTTTGTCACAATAATCACAGCTTCAGTAGTCGATACCAATACCAGTGAAATTTGATGATTCTTGATATCCCCATAAAACCAATATGCTAATGAACACATGCCAGTTATCAGATAAAATAAACAAATTACCAGGACAATAAAGGAAAACCATTAAACAAAATTATATCACACAAAGGACCACTATGTAGAATCCAGATTATTAGGCATCTTTATTTGTAGTTGACCCATTGTTATTTGACTAATAATTACCATATCAGACATAGACAACAGCGGGTCTAAATGCCCTTTCACACCAAATGTGAATGTTCGGCGCAAATAAGTTTTTTTTTTTTTTTTTTTTTTTTTTTTTTGGACAGTGTGTCATGTTTTTTTCTTGATCCTGCAATTAAAACATAAAATTCGAATTAGATATCAGAGCATTTCATGGTGATAATGCACTGAAAGCTATTTGCCAACCAGCAGTAAGCACCAAAGGATCTTGAATCAGCTGTTGTCATTTTTTCCTTTCCACACATTTTGAGCACAAGCCTAAAACATCAGTGTTTGCAGTTTATGAGCCTTTGAACTACAAACATAACCTGCAATCAATTAGTTATTTGCATAAAATGGTAGTTAACGCAAATCCTTTTTAGGATAAGAAACAAAAGATGTGTAAACATTGGGTTCATTTAGTAATGACTGTAGAAAAGTATATGTTATTAAGGCATGGCACTCTTTACTTATCTGACAAAAAAAATAGTTTTTCTCTAAGTAAATCAAAATTCATAGAAAAATGGTAAAGTTTGAGTGTTGTTTTAATACTGAATGTTTTTGCTGTCAACTTTGATAAATTTCTGCCATACAAAATACACACGTGACTTTAAAGTCTTGTCTGTATTTCATTTTTTATATTTATTGCTAAAATGAGTGTTGAACTAGACAGGCCATCTGAAAGTGCGTTGTCACTTGCACCATCTATTGTGCTGGAGTGAATTTGCTTTTGATTTATGCCGACAGATATTTGTTTCACTCTTGGTGTGAACCATAGACTGTATAAAACAATGGACGTCGTGTCAGCCGTAGATTTCTGAAGAGCATTTTTGAAGCCCAAAGTGAGTGGAGCCAGCCGTCACCATCACGTCACTCCCAGATAATCAAAAATGGGCAAAGAGGTGGGACGTGGGTGGAGCTGAGGTGATCAAGTTAACTCAGGCTAAGGAGCTAATGCTATATGCTACTGTTTTATACAGTCTATGGTTTCAGCCTACAGCTAATCACATTCTGTCGAGTGTAGTAAAGTTTTAAATAAAATTCTGAATAATAAATAAATTATTTCAAATAAGTTAAATTAATAAATAAAATTATATTAGAATTTCGCTCACTGGAAAAAATGGAGCCCAGACTTCTTGGACAGTGTTAGTACAATTAACCGCACAGCAAGCCATATTATTTGATATTTGTATGAAATAATCCTGAAAAAAGCATAAACACGGCAGGGATGCCAAGTTCAGAGGCTGGAATTAGCATGAGGTGACGTGACGGCTAACAGCCAGCACACAAGTGGCTAGTAGTGTCAGCAGCGGCAATCCACCTGTCACTCAAGTGGCCACGCCCTTAATTATGCAGGACTTTAAGGCTTAATATAATTTAAATGGATGAGTTAGAAAAAAAAATTCCCTGACTTCCATTTGGAGCCTGTCTTTAGCGGCCAGTCGATGAATTGCAGTTTAAGTCACTTCCTTGTTGGATTCAAGAGAGGCCCTGTCCCAAATCGCACCCTAAACCTTCGCGGTCTTCCTCTGAGTCCACTAAAATGACAAATGGGACACCTTACGGTCTCATGGACTAGCTCAAAAGAGGGGCAAGACATCTGGTAGGGGGAGCACCTGGGGTGGCCAGCCAAATTTCAGGGGGGGCTGGTGCCACCCCTGGCCACCACGTAGACACGCCCCTGCTAGAGAGCCCCATATCTGTCGTCTCAGCCCTCCTAAAACTATAATCAGCTACCTGAACGTTTGGGCCAGTGCTGTTTCCTCAAGAACGTTTATCATTCTCACATATTTTATGTCTTGTCAGTTTAAAAATTAAAGTGATTTAAGCCATTCAAGCACAAGACAGTGCGAAAGAGATCTCAATCGCGCGCTAGGATGGATCGTTTCTGTGCACGCACACACGTGAAGCATGCACACGAAAAAACAGCACGCAAATAACAAGTTCTATTTCACGTCTTCCTGAGTAAATACACACAAAATAATGTTAATCAAACGACAAAAGAAAAATGGAGAATCACTTACTGCTCTTGTCTTAACTAAGTCACTTCTGTAGCTTTGTGTATATTTACTTCATAGAGTAATGGTTTTCACAAGCACTGTTACGTTTAGATAATTTGTATCTTTGTGTCTAATGGTGTCTCTGAGGGCTCAGCCCCCCTGAGGATGAAATACTAGAACCGCCCCTGGTGTGAACAAACCACTCTTTGCTGATTCTGTGTGTGTAACAGACAAACCAGACATACTTTGTAACACATGATTGCCTTTGTTTGCTCTCTCTTGTGTTTATCAGGTTATTGTAGAGAAAGTATCTGGTTCACAGATTGTGGACATTGACAAGCGAAAGTATCTGGTCCCATCTGACATTACAGTGGCTCAGTTCATGTGGATCATCAGAAAGCGGATCCAGCTGCCTTCTGAAAAAGCCATATTCCTTTTTGTGGACAAAACTGTCCCTCAGTCCAGGTAAAATGCTGCTTTATTTATTAAAAAGACTCTACTAAGTACAATGGGGAAATATTTATTTGATCCCCTACTGATTTTGTAAGTTTGCCCACTTACAAAGAAATGAAGAGTCTGTAATTTTTATGGTAGGTTTATTTTAATGGATAGAGACAGAATACCAACCAAAAAATCCAGAAAAAACAAAATTATATAAAGGTTAGAAATTGATTCGCATTTCAGTGAGTGAAATAAAGATGAAGTCGTCCTGTACCCTTAGCAGAAAAACAGCCCCAAAGCATAATGTTTCCACCTCCGTGCTTGACTGTAGGGATGGTGTTCTTGGGGTCATAGTCAGCATTTCTCTCCCTCCAAACACAGCGAGTCGAGTTAATGCCAAAGAGCTCAATTTTGGTCTCATCTGACCACAGCACTTTCTCCCAAGCCTTCTCTGAATCATTTAGATGTTCTTTGGCAAACTTTAAATGGGCCTGTACATGTACCTTCTTGAGCAGTGGGACCTTGCGAGTGCTGAAGGATTTCAGTCCATTGCGGTGTAGTGTGTTGCCAATGGTTTGCTTGGAGACTGTGGTCCCAACTGCCTTAAGATCATTAACGAAAGTGACGAAAGTGACGTGACATGTGGCCAAGTATGGTGACCCATACTCAGAATTAGTGCTCTGCATTTACCCACATTCACTTCCCCC